GGGTTCGATCCTCAGCACCACATACAAAGATGTTGTGTCCCCTGATAACTAAAAAAGAAATAAATATTAAAAAAATTCTCTCTCTCTCTCTCTCTTTAAAAAAAAATTAAGAAGTATTTGGGCCACCAAAGATCCCTCCTACATGAAGATATTCATTTTCCTGCTTCAAATAAAACAGGCCACAGCATATAAATTATTATGTAGCTATGTCCTATAAAACTCTATAATCCAGCATCCATTTGACTAACCCCAAATTCTGCTGGCTCTGGCACCAGATAGAAAGGATGGAGTAGAGTTTCAAACACCTGTTTCAGTTTTTTAAGTATACAATTCAGGCCACTGTGCTCTGGCAGCAGGGATCCTGATGATGTGGCTGCTTGTCTTTTGCTAAATCCTCAACTTAAAGAGCCTAGATCCTCAGGGAAGGAAACGATAGAGCTGGGGTGGGGGTGTATAGCCAAAATGAAGAACTGTTCTTTTAAACTGAATACACATGTATCCTATGACACAGCAATTTTACCCTTAGGTATTTATCCAAGAGAAACAATAGCAATAATAGCCAAAAAAACCTGGAAGCAATCCAAATGTCTTTCAAAAAGAGAATAAATATATTTTATTTTAGTATATGAATACAACAAAATACTACTCAGAATAAACAAAACAGAAAAAAATACTGATATATATGTCAACATGAATGAATTATAAAAATGTGCTAAGCTGAAAGAGCTAGATACAAAAGAGTATATCCTATATGATTCCATTTATATGAAATCCCAAAACTAATCTATGGTGATAGAACTCAGAAAGCGGTTTTATATATGTGTGTATGATGTAAATCAAAGGAGGAATGAGGGAATTTTTCTGGGGTGATGAAAATGTTCTGTTTCTTTTCTTTTTAAATAGTGGTTATATGGTTTATACAATTACCCAAACCTATCAACTGAACACCTAAGTTCTAGATATTTTATTGTATGTTAATTATACTTAAAAAAAAAAAAAGAAGAGGGCTGGGGGTATAGTTCAGTAGGAGAGCACTTGTGTAGCATTTGTGAAGACCTGGGTTTGATCCCCAACACACACCCACATACACACAAACACATATAGAGGTTGGGGTGAGCCTCCCCTACTTGTCATTACAAGACAGAACAGAAAAAAATAAATTTGCTTATCAACCCACCATCCTGAGACAGAGGCTCAACAGCTATCTGAGTTGCCATTTCAGTGCCCTTTGGACAAACTTTGGGGAAAGAAGAGATTTTCAGGTAGTAACTTACTTACGATACCCTCAATGGGGCCCAGTTGCTTCTCAAAGAAATGATATTGAAACCTATTCAACAGTTTTTTTACTTCCCCATTGCTAAAGTATGATCTGGTTTCCAATTTAGAAGAATGTTCTCATAAAACAATAGAAAGGCCCAGAAGACAAAAATTAAATCATAACCATAACAATAGATAAGTCAGAGCATTGTTCCAGAGCATTGTTCCAGAGCTGCCACTACTCTGTCATGAGGTCTTGCATAAGACATGACTTTCTCTGGGCCACAGTTCTTTCCCTATATAATGAATTTTTATTTTAGCTTTAACATTGTAAGATTTTAAACTCATAAGTTCAAGTAGCCGCCAAGTTCAGAGGGGGAAAGGCATGCCTTGTTTCCCCTAAGCACCTTTACAGAGATTTACCTTTTTTTTAGCTTAATGAGTCCTCCAGAGGAATTCTGCATATCACCTAAAATAATTTCCTTCCTCTATCACACTTAAAAGCAACAAATTTAAAGATGTGAAAAGTTGCTAAGATGGCAAATCCAATATGGCATGGAATGAAAGAGTAGATATCACCTTGCACACATTATCTCATTTAATCCTCACAAGAAACTTTATTTAAATCAAGTTTTTACCCCCAATTTTTATTTTTAGTGATACTGTGGCTTGAACTTGGGGGGTGCTCTACCTCTGAGCTTCCTCCCTAGCTCTTTTTATTTATTTATTTATTTAAAAAAATTTAGACAGAGGATCTAAATTACTCAGGCTGGTTTGAAATTTGTGATCTTCCTGACTCAGTTTCCTAAGTGACCGTGATTACAGGTGTATGCCACTATGCCCAGCTTTACCTTCATTTTACAGATGGGAAAAAAGGAGGTTCAGAGACTGCCCAAGACCACTCAATGCTACAGGCTGGATCCAAACCCAGGTCTATCACACACCAAAGTCTATGCTTCTTTTTGCAACTACATTGAAGGAAATAATTCGAGATCCTAAATCCCAAAGGGGCCCTGTGAAATCCTAGAATTTTCTCCTTACATTTAATTCATTTTATATTCTTAGGCAGCCTCTGGCATTACACAGAAGAAAGGGTTAAACCTACAGTTAGGAAGAGGAAATTCCCTGGAAAATTGAAACACATGCTGTGGCTCTGACTAAATTTCACACTCTTTTGGTTAAGCAATATCCATAGTGTGTGAGAAAAGACTCCTTCCCTCTCTAGCCTCCCACCCCCATCCTTTATGCATTTCATCACCTGCTGCCTTCCTTCAGACCAAGCTGAAGGAGAAGAAGGGAGGAAGACTATATATACATCTTTGCTTAGTGCATATTTAAACTGGAGGTTAGCAAACCCAAAATAGGAAGAAGTACTATGTGAAAAAGAAAAGGAGTAATACTACCTCATTTCTAATTGAATCAGCATAGGGAGGAACTCAACAAGGGGATGGATTTCTGCTGGGGAGGAGAGGGGGAGGCGTCCTTCCTGAAGAGTAGGCAGAATTCAGAACAAGCCCCATTTACACCTGTCTCCTTGTCTGGTATTTTATGCTCAAGTGAACTCTGTATTTCTGTCCATGAGAGTTATGTCTCCCCCATAACAGAAAATGGGAAGATGGAAACATTACATTTTTTTAAAAAATTTCTCCTTAATACCCTTTTCAACAGGATTCCTGCTCATGACAATGAATACAACTATTTGGTACTGGAAGTCAACTGGATAGAAGATGCTTGCTGGAAACTAGTCTATGTTATAAAGCCTAGAATAGCTACCCTAGACTAAAAGAAAAAAGGCGGCAAGGAAAAATTAACAAATAACTACCATACAATGCCACCTCTCTTTGAATAAAGAAGTGGAGCTTATATCTCCTCCCCTTGAATCTGGTCTGTGACTCTTTTGACAGATAGAGAATTAGAGGAAATGACAATTTGGGACTTCCATTTCCAGGAATTAAAAAGGCCTTGAGGAGCTGAGGCTGGGGCTCAGTGGTAGAGCGCCTGCCTAGCATGTGTGAGGCCTAGCTAGGTTCGATCTTCAGCACCCCATATAAATAAATAAATAAATATAAAGGTCCATCAACAACTAAAAGAAAAAAAAAGGCCTTGAAGCCTCTGTCCTTCCTTTTTAGAGATGTGAATTTCCATGTGCAAAATCTAAGGTATATAACAGGAGAAAGAAAGCATAAGGAAAAGCCCTAGAGGGCTGAGACATCACATCAAAAGAAGTCACATGTTATTAAATATTCAAACTATAACCACAAGAGAGACCCTAAATTAGACCATTAGAAGAATTGCCCAGTTGACTGCTACTAATCCACAGAATTGTAAGATATAATATATAATGGTGGCTGTTTTAAGCTACAAAGTTTTGGAGTGGTGTTACACAGCAATAGATAACTGAAACAGCTAGCTTTTATTGAAAACTAAGGGGCTGGGGATGTGGCTCAAGCGGTAGCGCGCTCGCCTAGCATGCGTGCGGCCCGGGTTCGATCCTCAGCAGCACCACAAAAGATGATGAATCCGCCAATAACTAGAAAAACAAAAAAATAAATAAATAAATATGAAAAGTGCTCTCTCTCTCTCCCTCTCTCTCTCTCTCACTCTCTCTTTAAAATAAAAAAAAAAAACAACTAAGCCAAAGATAGTAGTTCTTTTCTCTAGGATATATAAAACAAACGATATTGTAAAAATATGGGTAAATCTACCCCGATTTTGTTTTATTTATTTATTTTTTTTGATACCTGTGATTGAACACAGAAGTGCTTAACCATTAAGCAATATTCCTAGCCCTTTCGTATTTTGAGACAACATCTCCCCTAAGTTGCTTAGGGCCTCCATAAGTTGCTGAAGCCGGCCTTGAACTTGCTATCCTCCTGCCTTAATCTCTGGAGTCACTTGAATTACAGGCATGTGCCACCATACCTGGCTACCTCAGTTTTAAAGGAATTTGACTGCGCGCAGTGGTCCATGCCTGTGGTTCCAGCTACTAAAAAGGCTGAGGCAGGAACCCAGAAGTTTGAGGCCAGGATGGGCAACATAGTAAAACCTCATCTCAAAGAAAAAAAAAAAGAAAAAGAAAAAGAAAGGAATTCATAATGGAGGAAATTCCATTTCCATTAGCCTAAAAAAAAATATATCTAAGAGTAGATTTAATAAGAAATGGGTATCAATAGCCAGCACAGTGGTACATGCTTATAATTCCAATGATGCTAGAGGCTGAGGCAGGAGGCTCTCAAGTTTAAGCCTCAGCAATTTAGTAAGGCCCTATGCAACTTTGCAAGACCCTGTTTCAAAATTAAAAATAAGGGCTGGGGGTGTAGCTCAGTGGTAAAATGCTTGCCTAACACATGTGAGGCACTGGGTTTGATCTTCAGCATCAAATAAAAATAAAAAAATAAGATAAAGGTATGTGTCCATCTACAACTATAATTAATTAATTAACTTTAAAAATAAAAAATAAAAGTAGCCAGGTGTGGTGGCTCACCCCTAGAAGGTTGAGACAGGAGGATCCTGAGTTCAAAGCCAGACTCAGCAAGAGCGAAGAACTAAGCAACTCAGTGAGACCCTGTCTCTAAATAGAATACACAAAATAGGGCTGGGGGATGGGGATGTGGCTCAAGCGATAGCGTGCTTGCCTGGCATGCGCAGGGTGCTGGGTTTGATCCTCAGCACCACATAAAAATAAAATAAAGATGTTGTGTCCACCGAAAACTAAAAAATAAATTAAAAAAAAATAGGGCTGGGAATGTGGCTCAGTGGTTGAGTGCCCTTGAGTTCAATCCCCAATAGCAAAAAAATAAAAGTAACCCAAATGAAAGCACCCCAGGCTAAATCCCCAGTACAAAAAAATAAAAATTAAAATAAGAGTGAGAGTGAGAGAGAGAAAAGAAATAGATATATGGGCTGGAATTGTGGCTTAGTGGCAGAGTGCTTGCCTCACATGTGTGAAGCACTGGGTTCAATCCTCAGCACCACATAAAATAAATAAATAAATACATAAAATTATTATGTCCAAAAAAAAAAGAAGAAGAAAGAAAGAAACGGATATAAATAGGGGAAATAAGAATTGACAAACTTTACCAAGATCATTAAAGAAGTCTTGATTAAATAAAGAAGCCATGACATATTCCTGGGCTGGGAGGCCAAATATATTATAAAGATGTCAGTTACGTTATAAAAATGTTAACTGTCCTCAGATTAATGTATTTTTTTTTTAAAGTCAAAATCCCCTTCAGGCTGGGTGTGGTATTGAATGCCTATATCCCAAGGGCTGGGGAGGCTGAGGCAGGAGGACTGTGAGTTCAAAGCCAGCCTTAGCAACTTGGTGAGGTCGTAAAGCAACTCAGACCCTGTCTCTAAATTTAAAATATGAAAAAGGACTGAGGATGTGGCTCACTGGTTAAGCACCACTGGGTTCAATTCCTGGTACCAAAAATAAATAAATACACACTCTATTTGATAAAAGGAAGGTGCTAATTCACTCATTAAATATTCATAGTACCAACTTTATGCCAGTCACTAGGCTAGATAATATAAACATGGTAAATGATGCAACAAAATCCCTTCCCTCATAGAGTATGACATGCAGTGGAAGAGAAAGACATTAGCAAGGGAAAACATAATTAATTCACTAATTACAATCATAACAAATGTTATGAAGGAGAAATGCAAAACGCTAAGATTGTTCAAGAGTTTAGTACAAAAAAACCTAAGTAAATAAGTAAAATAAAATGATCTTGGGGTGAAGAGAAAATAGTGACTAAGACTTATCAATAGATTAATACCAGAAGAAAGGGAATATAGAGATGAAAAGACTGAATATCAATACTGAATACCACATCCCCAGTCCTTTTTTTTTTTTTTTTTTTTTAAGAGGGAAATACCAATGAGAAGTAAACTTGGAATGTAGGCATCAGGTAGAGGATAAGGCACAAACAGAAAATAGAGGGATCAGTTGAGAGAACAGGAGGAAAAACATAATAGAGGGGATGTGGATATAGCTCAGTTGGTAGAGTGCTTTGCCTCACATGCACAAGGCCCTGGGTTCAATACCCAGTATCACAAAAAAAAGAGTCACTTTTGGGGCTGGGATTGTGGCTCAGCAGTGGAGTGCTCACCTAGCACCAGTGGGACCTGGGTTCGATCCTCAGCACCACATAAAAAAATAAAGGCACTGTGTCCATCTACACCTAAAAAATAAATAATTAAAAAAATAATAGACGAAGGGGGAATTATTGAAGAACTAAAATAAATAATTTAATTTATTTAAATTGTCATTTCCCCAATCAAATTATATAATATTTTTTCCAGGTAAAAAAGACCCTCACTAAGAATCTAGCACAATGACTAAAAAGAGACCCCAATGTTTTAGAACGGTAGAGAAAAGAGATTGTAAAAACTTCTAATTCAAATGAAAAGACCTAAGATTCAATATGGCATCAGACTACTCAAGATCAATATTGGAAATGATAAGACAAAGAAGTGAAACCATTAAACTTTGAAAGAAAATGATTCCAAACTAGAATTCTATTATCTTGTCAAACCCTCAATCAAGCATCAGAATAAACCTGCGCAGAAGTGCAGGCCTTAATCCCAATGGCTTGGGAGGCTGAGGCAGGAGGATCAAGAGTACAAAGTCAGCCTCGGTAAAAGTGAAGTGCTAAGCAACTCAGTGAGACCCCTATCTCTAAATAAAATACAAAAATGGGTTGGGGATGTGGCTCAGTGGTTGAGTACCCTGAGTTCAATACCCGATATAAAAAAAAGTAGAATAAAAGTTCAGATATGCAAGATCTAAAAATATTTATACCCCAAATGTCATCCTAGGAGGATTTTTTTTTTTAAAGTAAAACAAGAGTGAATCAAGAAATGGGCATAGAAACCAAGAAAAAAGAGATACAGAGAAAAGCAAAGGAAGTTCTAGAAAGGCAGTTGTGTGTGAAGACGAGACAGGAACCAAAGCAGAACTGAAGAGGAGGACTGGAGGCTCTAAGGAGGAAGAGATAAAAATGGAATAGAAGAATTGTGTATTTGACCATGTGGAAAAATAATATTCTGAGAGTTTTAGAAACCACTGTAGAGTTTGAGATGAAATAGTGAGTAACATAGAAAACTAAGCACATTTTTACAAAGAGGGGAAAACTTGTAGTAAATAATACTTAAGATCTTAATAAGTAAAAACTCAGTACTAGTTTACCCAAATGAGGAGATAAGTATTTTGGGAGGATGGGTGGAAGGAGAAAAAAGGAGGTATGGGGTACTATAAAAGTCTTTTATCAACATCTAGGAGTAGAAAATCAGTAAATAAATTTTAAAATATAGTTTTAAAAATATAATTTCTGCATAATATTTAGAATTAGAAAGTTAACAACTTAATAAACAGCTAAAAGAGTTGGGAGGGCTGGGAGTAAAGCTCAGTGGTAGAATGTCCATGATGTCTTCCTGTATTTAATTAACAGCATTGCAAAGAAACAAAAGATAAAAAAATTTTGAAGGAGACCTTAAAGTTGGGAGCAGGTGTGAATATATGCTTCACAGTATTATTTGACTTTTTAAAACTATGTATTTATATTACCTAAATAGAAATTATAAAAATAAATCTATTCAAGTAATTATGTGCAAAAATATTTATTTTACTTTGCTATAAAATTAAAAAACTGGAAATAATCCAAATGACCAATGATAAGATACCAAATAAATTTTAAAATAAAATTCAATGAGTAGTATCACTACTTCTTGTTTTCTTTTTCTCTCTTTTTCTCTCTCTCTCTCTCTCTTTCTTTCTTTTTTTCCAGTACCAGGGATTGAACCTAGGGGCACTTAACCACTAAGCCATATCCCCAGCCCTTTTTTGTATTTTATTTAGAGACAGGGCCTTGCT